TCATGGAAGAGTATGATAAAGCTGCATGGCAGGAACTCATAGAACGAGTTGAGGAAACTGGAATTGTAAGCCATCTTATTTCTTGAGTTTCAAAACATTTCCCAATACCTAAATTTCGTTTGAATTCAATCTTGATTTGTTGGTATAGGATGCTATTGAAATCAACTTTTCATGCCCTCATGGTATGCCAGAGCGTAAAATGGGTGCTGCAGTTGGCCAAGATTGTGCACTGTTGGAGGAAGTCTGTGGCTGGATTAATGAAAAAGCCACGGTTCCAGTTTGGGCAAAGATGACTCCAAACATCACTGACATCACACAGGTTTGCTTTTTCTTCTAGCACACGAGAAGATTCATCCAATTTTATAACAAGTTTTAGGGAAATATATGATTTCATTCTGCATAATCTATGTAATCATATAATAGGCTAATCATATTTATATTTATTAATACATTATTGCAAACTTGTGGAAGCACACAGGTTGTATGTGCTAAATTTTGAATATTTCTGCATGCCGCCGTTGTTGGCTAAATTCTTGAATTTTGAACGATTGAGCTATGAGAAATAAGAAAATTGACAACTTGTGTTGATTGCAATAAATATTATCCTGTGTTGCTAGAACATTTATTGTACCTATAGTCGGATTCTTTAATCAGGATTCCTTGTATATGTTGTAGATGAGCAGTTACATAGTAATAGTTCTAAAAGCTTAAGCTCTTAAACAGGGCATGCGTGTATTTATTCAAAATTTTAATCTTCAACAGCCCTTCACATGATCATTTTTTCATTAAAAAGCTTGACACATGCCAAATTACCATAAATGAGTAGTAGTGAGACTTGAAATAAACTTCAACATGCCCTTTTCATTCATCTTTTCTTCAAAAATTTTGACACGTGCACACTGTTTATAAATGGGTGGTTGTGAGACTTGAACCTTCTTTTGATACCAAGTTGAATGACCTATTCCAACAGCTTGATCTTTTAGATAAGTTGGTTGTCTAGAACTTATCAACTTCTCACTCATGATTCAATTTTATTGCTGTTTTGTAATAGCCGGCTCGAGTGGCTCTTAGTACTGGATGCGAAGGGGTATCTGCAATCAATACAATCATGAGTGTCATGGGAATTGACCTTGACACCTTACGACCAGAGCCATGCGTAGAGGGGTAAATTCTTGGCTAAAAGGATGTAAGATTTTCGAGTGGATCTATTCAGATCTTCTTATGCTTCTTTTTTAACATCATTCCAGATACTCGACTCCTGGTGGCTATTCTTCAAAAGCTGTCCACCCTATTGCACTTGCAAAAGTGATGAGCATTGCGCAGATGATGAAAAAGGAATTTGGTGATAAAGACCGTTCGCTTTCTGGCATTGGAGGCGTAGAAACAGGTGGTGATGCTGCTGAGTTTATCCTTCTAGGGGCAAGTACAGTTCAGGTTGGACAACACACTGATTAGTTTTCTACTTGGTTTTTAATGTTGTTAGATCTGAAGCTGCATATTCTCTTGCTTTCACTATCATACGTATCACCAAAAAATTGCTTTCATGTTAATATAATAGCTTAACCTTAAAAGCCTGTTCACTTCTCACAAATTTCCTGTGAAAATGAGTTCCTTTTGAGTTTTCGAGTTTGAACATTATTCTCATGAAATTTCCTTTTCAGCTGTCGGCATTGTTGAATATGTGTTTTATAAAGTCTCCATATGCTGCATACTGAAGTTTCTGTTATTAGTCTGTTTCTATTTCTATTTCTCTCTCTTGTCATTAAAGAATTAATATGCGACATGAACCATAACTCTAGGTCTGCACGGGTGTTATGATGCACGGATATCCTCTTGTAAAGAAACTCTGCACGGAGCTGAAGGAATTCATGAAGAAGCACAATTTTTCGTCAATAGAAGATTTTAGAGGGTATGGATTCTATAAAAACTTTCGTACTAAATAACAAGAACTGCATTTTTGTAGTCTTATTTTTTGCATTTTCTTTATTTATACATCCAGGGCTTCGCTGGAGTACTTCACCACTCATATGGATTTGGTAAGAAGACAGCAAGAAGCTATTCGGGAAAGGAAGGCTGTGAAGAAGGGTTTGCAATCCGACAAAGACTGGACAGGAGATGGTTTTGTGAAGGAGACGGATAGCATGGTATCCAACTGATTCAGGATAAAAAAATATCATCTGTCATTTACTTCTGTAATAAAATAAAAATATCGGATTGAATTTAAGTTTAAAAACTAAATAATGGATTTCTTTGTTGTCTATGGTTGTATATAATAAAAGACCAAAATATTAATGTTGTTGAATATCACAGTTCTTGTTTTGGAAGTCGCTGGTAATTGAATGTTGGATTGAGAATATTTGATGAGCCTTAGAAAAGGTGAAAAGTTAAATAAAATCCCATGGAACCAGGATTTTTCCTGTTGGGGGTAAAAAATTTGAGGCGGCAAAATATACATAGTTTCTATATGGAATAGCTCATTTATACAGAATGATAAAGAGGCCATATATTGGGGGCAACCGGGCAATTGTGCTACAATGGGGTACACGTCCCTCACACAAGGAGGGTCGTGGGCCCTTCCCTCATGTGAGGGGCGGGAACGTCGGTGTACAAATAGCAATTTCGTATTGGGGGTGGGTGGAGAGTAATTCTATGAATCTGCTCGATAGATTTTTTTCCCCCTCTGCTCTGGCTGGCTCTATTTCTGCGTTTATGGTCATTCCATAGTTTAAAATCACTTTATTTAAAAGAAATAAACAGTGCATTTAACAACAAAAATTAGAGTGCTGAATTTATTAGTGGGCCGGGTCCTAATTGACGTGACATGAGAGTTCCCTTAAATATTAGCAAGAAGCGCCAAGAATTGTCAGAAGATTAGCACAATCAATAATGATTCACCATCGATGACCAAAGAAGCGACACTTCTAAATAAAATGCAAATGGTATATATATATATATATATATATATATTATTTTTTTATTTTCTATGTTATCTATGACTATCCCCCGACAATGCCTCTTTTAGAATTACATGATAATTATTTTTATAGTGGTCATGGAATGGATTTTTCAAACTATGTTACCATTTAAGATATTTGTCGTGAAAATATGGAAAATAAAGTATATTAAGGAACATGTTTTATGGTGGTTAAGAAATTAGTTATCGTGAAAAAGTTATAGAAGAATATATAAGATTTTTAAGGGACATGTTCCATGATGACTAGGGAACTAGTTATATTGAAAAAGTTATTGAAAACAACTATAAATTACCACATTTGCATGCTCTATAAGTATGCATTTGTCCTTTATTTGCAAGAATAAGATTGTATTTACCCCGTGAAATTAACAATATAGTCGGTATACTGATATCTCATTATATTATTATCTAACAAGTACACCATTATTGTATTTATGTCATCGACTTTTTCCCCCTATTCTAATAGTCGATCTTTCATCAATTGACATATCTTGTCACTAATGATGGCTACGTCCAAAAATCATTTTAAGAGACTGTAACATGAGTTATTTGTCCATCATATTTTTAAATATAAAAAGTAAAAAAGAAAATAAAATTGCGACTAAATATTTGCTCCTTCTTTTAAAGCACCTTGACAAAATTTTTGAAAGAAAGCTATCGTCCAGAATAATAATACGTGTTAATTGATAGAAGTTTAGCGATAAGAATGTAATAAAAATGTTGAGAATGTAAATACACTTGATAATATGTGGGTTCAGTGAGTCAATTTTTTTGTTTGATCCCCATTCTTTTGGAAAAAATCATTTTTCAATAGTGTTTTGATATCATTTCAACCACACATTTTTTAATAAAATAATATTACACGTAAATCTAAAAATTTTCCTTATTCTTTAGCCACATATTTCCCATCAATACACTATTCAAAAATTCATTATACCCCAAAAAATGGGGCTCAAACAAGGGCTTTACTTATATATAGAAAGTTTCTATTTATTTGATTTCCGAATATTATCTAGCTGTCAAGAAAAAATTTATTCTAATTTGATCTAATGAGAAGGTACAAATTCATCATGCATTGTCATGGACAAGTTAATGCAAGTACGTTATGAAAAGTGTATGTGAAACTCACAAGTATTTTGCAGCGGTGGGGAAATTTGCACTATGATCTCAAACTTACTGTTTAAGAACAGAAACAAGTCGGTAACATTATTCGGGAAAATTTATAATAAAAATGGGTTACGGATCCCAAGAAATAAAATAAGTTGGTAACAAACACACACATATATTATTATTTTTCAAGAAAGATAAGAAGATTGGCGCGCCAGCACGCGTGCGCACACACTATATATGTGTGTGTGTGTGTGTGTGTGAGCTCTCGGGGCATAGTCCAGTGGTGAAAAAAACAGAAATGAAGTTATCTTACGCCTTGCTGACAGTCGCAGTGTAGGGATTCGATTCCTGAGACATGGAATTTGATTCCTTGTAGGCGCAGTGTACATGTAACTCTTGTTCCCTGACCTGTTGGGGTACATTCAGCGATTTACCTCATTCACAAAACTTTAGGGACGGGACGATGGGGACCTTCAAGGTTGGGGTTCAACCTCCATTTTTTTTCTTTTTTAATATATATATTTGTGGTGTAGAAGAGATGTAAAGACAATGTGCATTGATTAGCACAAGTACTCTTCAATAACAGTAGAGAATTTGTATAATTGAAAGGATTCAAAAGAGAAGAGACCGACGATGGATTTTGTGTACTACAGAATCCCAATTTCTAAGAAACCTATGAAATGTTCCTTTCGAGTGTAAAAAGCCCACTGCCCACTGAATTCTATACACTGTTTCTGGCTTATATAATAAATCACCGGGGCCACTCACTTGTATCCAAACAAATGGATGGGAGCCATAAAGCACTTTGCTCCCAACTTAAACTATTTCGTGTAAAAGTTAACAAGTGCACACTTCATTCAGTATCAAAATTTGACATAAAAACCACGACTTCTGTTAATATTTGATGCTAAACTCAGGATTGCTCTGATATCGTTTTAAAAAAAGTATTTATATCTAAAGTAGTTCAACAGTAATATCATGCTTACTGCGATGCAGGTGACAAACGTTCACTCATTATATATAATGTTACCTTATATGGTAAAATTTATGTGGAGCGTGAAAGTTGACAAGCGTTGGAGAATATGGAAAGAAAAGCGGTTGAGCATAAGCAAGAAGAAAAAGAATACTCCATTTCAGTCAAAGAAGATGATGAGATTCTTAAGAAGAAAATTTCTTGCCATTCTTTGTATGGCCTCTTGCTTGACTCTCACTTGGACTGCTTAAAGGTCTCTTTCTCTTTCTCTCGATTTCATAGTTTGAACGATGAGATTATTGGGCATGTTTCTTGATTTTTGAAATCATGACATGAGAATAATCATCGTAATATTTGCCACTTTTTCATGTAAAAACTTGTTTGCAGATGTGTTTAGGTAATGAAGAAATTCGTTGCGTTGACACAAAGGAAGGTGCTAGCCACTCGTGCAGCTCGGCCGATCAACTGGAGTTGGACCAGTTTATGGTAAGTTCTCAAGTGTATTACTCATTCAATACAAAGAATTATGAGGGCTGTGAATTTTTGTTTAGAGAAACTATAAATACGAATGTGACACGCTTGTTAGTCCCTCGACTCATTTCAAAATGTTTTGGTAGTTATCGCAGTTTATTTCATTTCAAATAGTCCCTAAGATTCGCCTATCGTTTCGATTTTATCAGAGTTAAATTCCATCGAGTTTTCTAAACGTAATGTAGGCGTAGATGAGCACGCGAGTGTCACGTTATATACATAGACCATGCGAGTGTAAAGGGTAAATGCTCGTTTTTTTTTCAACCTTTAGTTAGTAACATAAGATGTAGAATTTTATTTATAATCATAACCTGATGCAGGAAGCATATTGCAATACTCTGAAGAAGCTAAAAGAAGCAATGGAAGAACCTCAAAAGGAATCAATGGAGTTCGTCAATTATATGCATTCTCAACTCAAGGAGCTCACTGATCACAAATCTGCTAGTAATAACATTCAGAATTTCTCTAATATTTATTATTATTTTGATATAATAATTTATGCAATTTTTAAATAATGATGTCTAATTAACTAATTAGCACTGTAATAAGACATTGATGCACTTTAAACCTACTCTTTTTGTAGGAGACATCCCAGAAGTTGGTTGACGTTTAATAATTTGGCGATGGATACCTTGTACTAGATGCCGTTGATGTGTTTGGCGTGTTTAGTACTGAACAATATTAAATAAGAAATAAAATTTATTTCGCTCATATTATAATTATGTACTGTTCATTATTGCTTGCACCCAATATATATTTGACTCATTCAAGTTTAACCATGTTTTCACTATTTCATCTAACTTTTTTCAAAAGCATATATGAATGCATCTAATATTGTATTATACATAACGTACACTGCAGGCTTGCTTGATATAGCTACTTTTTGCTTAAAAAAATTGATCAAACTTCATTTTTAAACTGGCATTTCATTTAACCCACAACTTTTATCCATTTTTTAACCACACATTTCATGAACCCACTAACTTGTATCGACTCTATTTGCTAAAAATTTACATCAGACAGACACTAAAGTCTAACATTGCAACAATAAGAGTGGCCTTTGGGAAAAAAATAATAATAATTCTAATTTTACTTGTACTTGACAGCATTAAATATCGATGGATATTATGAAAACTATTTAACAATCAAACTTTCCCACCATAATTCTGCAAGGCATCTCTATAGGGCTATAGTACACACTAAAGCAAAAATCCGCAATATTCCATCTTGAAATCCTGTGTGGCCATCCTCTTAAGGTAGTCAGAATTGTAAACAAAATCGATCTAATGTATAATGATCTAATGTATAATTTTCAAGGCATCTTTCTTTGAATAAGTTGATGGATATGTACTAGAAACTCGACGTATGAAAGCCCACTTGGAGTCTTGTCCTCTACCATGTAGGAGAAAAAGGTTGTCCCTGAAACAGCAAAAGTCTCGGATTACAGAAAACCACAGCAAACTAAAAAATACTGTAATAATAATCCAAAAATTTGTCCGACATCAGGTCAACTCCATGCTTCGTTTTGCTTCTTTTTTTTTCCCTCATATTTTTCCTCGGTTTGGATAGTTTAAATAGGTTTCCATTCGCTAACCTGATGGATCTCCTTTTCTGCACAATTTTAAGCTGCGGTTCGAGGGGAAAAAAATTACTGGTAGAAAAACAATTACTTTATTCAGTGAAGTAGTCCTGGTCATTTTCAAAGAACAACATTTTCATAACGTAGGTAGGAACATCTTTGACGCCTTATCTACTTGATAAGGTTCAGCTTCTGTGACAATAAATTATCATATTGCTGCAGTACATACTGCAAAGGGAAAATTTGGAAATTAAGGCATTTTCCCTAAGTACTACGGTGACGATTAAGTGGGAATACCATTGTTGAACATCTAAGTTCCTAAAAAATACTCTTTAGGCAGAGAAGTTCCCCAGATAACTTGCAAGGCAAAGGAACATGTTTGCATGTTATTCCCAAATGATATCAACATCATTTAAGTAGTTTAAAGATGCCTAGTACGTCAAGAAAAATAAAAAATGTTCAACCATGAATGTGTGTCAGAATACTCTGGATTGACAGAGCTACCAACATAAATTAAACAATCTTCACCATTGGGAAATGAGGGAATCACCCAGCTCCTGACAATTCAGCATTAAGATAGAAAACAAGGGATACGTCAAGAACACTTATAACGAGCAACATGAACAAATTCATACCTTCTCATCAAGGTTGTGAATAGCTCTCATCCTAAGGTATACCAATGGGATTGTCAAAGGAGTAGATAAATTGGAAACATAATTGATCCAAAATGACCTATCATCAATTCTTCCATCAGAATCCCAAAATGGGGAATATACCAGAATCCCAAAATGGGGAATATACCAGAAGACACGACTCTCTGCTGTGCATAAAATCAAGTCTAATTATAATTACATAGGCAAAAAATTGGAGTAATAATTTCTTAGAAACCATATGAAAACCCTAGTCAAAGAAAAATAATGCACGTCCAACAGTCACAGAATTTGCTATTTAGTATGGCTCTAATTATACAAAAATTCTAGGAATTCAAATATATAAAAATTTAGGAAACCAAAGTTCACTTTCTATATACGCAGCTTCAATAACAAAACTTGAGGATTCAATTGACTTACCTACAAGTAGTCTCATCTGTTATTAATGGGCGAAGTGGCCTCCTTTTTGTTCTTTTAGATGACACAAGGTGCCATCATTGAAGCACAAACAAGATAATAATTATAGAAGAATTTTTGTTCCTCCACTAAGAGAATTTGACAGATAACTGGAATTGCATTAACACAAGCAAAGTCCTGTCTAAAAATGACAAGAGTAGGTAATTGGAACTGCCGAACTGCATGAGCCAACATGATTAAATATTTGGTAGGAGCGACTGCAGCAAAGGTCAGAGTCCAGAGAGATAAATGCATGGTGTACAGTCAATACGTACAAATTTCGAAGCAACATGAGATATACCAAGGGTGTACAAAGGTAACAATTTAAGTGCCTCAGGAAGAATAAGCTGTCCAGGTGCAGAAGCTGACGCGCAGAACTTGCGATATAAATGCAGAATGTTGATGCAAAGGTTTTTTGCTTGCTCTGTGGCTTGTGGGAGTGGAGTTGAAGGAACTTCTCCGGTCACTGTCACATGAGAAAAAGCAGGGCATTGGAGTTAGAATGCTACAAAGAGTACTGCTAGAAATTGTTGACCGAATTTCTATAAAATAAAAACAAGGTCAAACAGCATACATGAGGTATTATTTGCAAGTAACATGTCAAACATGATAATGTCAAAATCATTTAATTACATATGCATTCACATATGTTTAGCAAAGTTATAAGCTTAGCCAAACATGATAATAGCAAGGAGAAATTTTTGTTATATTCTATATATATACATATATATATATATATATATATTGAAGCAACTGCCCCAATAAACATAGATGGAAATTACCTTGCTTCAAGATACAAGGAGATAGGGTATCTAGGTCAGCAAACCGAAACAAATTACTCAGAGTGGTGGTATAAGGCAGAGACAAGGTTGAGACCTGGATTCTTCTTTGGCCGTATACATTGGTGTAAAGAAGAGCACATTACAAAACACGTACAGAAAGTCACTCGGTGTTTGTTTTTATAAACAAGATGAAAACAGGCACAAAAAATCATGAAAAAAACATTTTCCATAATCAACATGGGATTCAGATAATGAAAAATATACCTGGAAAGCACATTCTGACCAATCCTACAATTTATCATCGTGTTTTAGGGTTACCATCATTGTTTTGTCACAGTCAATCTGCACAAGTGAAGCTTCGTTTGAAAAGGAAAACAACCTTTGGGAAACAAATAAGCAATAGCAAGAAAGAATTAAAAAAATAAAATAAAATAAAATAAAGTAGCAGTTAGAGATATTGGGTGGCAGATATTGATCCACGTCAAACTTCAGAACTCATAAGTATCATTAATTTCCTTACTCTAAGTGACCACTAGGACTAAAGGAATTGAATAATCATCAGCACATGATCAAAATTCCAATTTGTGCCATGAATTATAGGAAGAACTGATTATAGAAAAGAAAGAAATTCTGAGATCCAAAAAAGTTTACAGAACCAAGAAGCGTATTTTTTTTGCCCTAAATAAACAATGAGAATATTGATGGACACAGAAAGCATTGTTGAAAAGCACCTATTTAAAAGAATATATGAAGTAATGAGGACTGGCTGGAGCTTGCACTTCGGCAGTTTCAATTGGCATTAATTTACAAATCTGTTACAATTTTATCACTTGTTTGGCAGTTGATAGCTAGTGGATAATCTGTTTTATAGCATTTCAACCCCGCAATCAGAAGAAACAAATTATGTCATCAACAAAATATAAACACAGGAAAGAGTAACCAAATTTCATGTTTGTTTATATAAATGTTTGGATCATTTTCAAGGAAGTAACAATATATTCTTGACTCACAGGGAGAAAACGTTACAACAGAGATCACCTAGAGAAGAAATGCCCAAGCCAGGACTGAAAAATAGGTTTCCCGTAATTAATATTTTTTATAACGGCCTGGGTGCACATAATTGCGCTCTTACTTCTCCCAAAATGGAGGAAAATCATTCTCAGAAGTTCTTGCGTCTCACATGCCAACATACAGTACTTAAGTCACTTTCTCTAAGCAACACTAGTTACAACTTGCAAGAGATTTCTCAAATCTCCAAACATGAACACGAATTTTGAATTATTTTGCTCTCAGTGGCTCTTGTCAATCCCATGATCTTACAGACATAAGACATCCATTGAAAAATTCCCATGTACACCAACATGTGTTGACGCAATTTATATTTTGAATAAAGCATCTCAGAATTTGAAAGAATGACATTTTAAAACAGATTTCACAAGGTACAACTAACTACGTTACCAGATATTTTTGCAAAAATTTTATTGTCATTCCGTAAGATACAAATGCTCATCCTATTATTGCTCTTTAACATGTAGGATACAAGAAGCTAAGCACCATTCCCAGTAAACCTGGGTCAGCTGTCAGCTAATTTATTTATTTATTATTATTATTATTATTATTATTTTTTGGCCACCTCATTTGACAACATTATCAGATATTCACTCAAGAATTTAGCTTCTCACAAATAATATCGGTAGATGAATTCGTTCGCTAAATATGAATACCTATTCTACAGTTGCCCTTTAAATCTACATTAATAACAAGCAAGAATTTATTCTCAAAAGATTTGTGGTCCTCCTTTCAAACATCTCTGTTCCGTTGAGCGCTAAATCTATCCAAGGATCCAAAAGAAAGCAATTTTTTGTAATCACATCAGGTCATTTTCCCATATATTATCCAATTTAAGATTAACTTTGTTTTCTAAAATTCCAGTATCAAAGTTCGACAAATGACTCCTGGAACTCATATACAGCTGAAACCACATCTATGACCAATGTACTTAATGGAAGAAAAACTGTATACATATTAAATCAATCACATATCATCAGCCTAATGGATAAATGGGAATACATAGATGAAATGCCACATAGATGAGGAAACCAAGTAAGAACTCACAGGAAGATCAGCTATAACTTGGCTAATTGTGCTGCAAGTTGCTGCAGTTGCGTCTGTTTGTATGGCATTCATGGATACATCAATAAGGAAGAAATATACAGAAGGCATTGGATCTTAGACCTGAAAATAATTTACAAATTCAAAAGATAGCACCATCACACAAGAATGAAAAAAAAAAAAATATACAGGATCAAGATCAATAATATTTACTCATGAGAAGAATGTTCAGTTAATCTCAACCCAACTAAATCTCAGACTAAAGTAAAAAAGTGTACAGTCCATCAACCAACCCAACAAGAGGTGTTACATGATGGGAAATGTACCCTTTTAATCTGTCTTCCACTAGATTCTAGGGTCCGAAGACTGCCATTAGTTGATCTGTGCAATGCAAACATCGAAAGGAAATCAGGTTGGACAAAAACTTAGTGAATAGTTTTTGGAAACAAGTTAGATGCATGTGTGCCCTAACAACACACAGGGTAATTACCTAGCAACTAGACCTCAACAAAAACTTCAAATGCAAGTGTACTTGTGCACCAGAAAGTCCAGACTTAATTTCAGAATTCGCCAGTGAAGTTTAAAGACCGGGACCAAAGTGAGTCAAACTTATTTACTTGCCAAATGACTCAACAAATTTAAACCAAATGATCAGTCACGTGATTAGGGATTCTGGGATAATTGACGTTCCTTGAAGTGGTCACTTTAATTTTTATCATTTATCTCTCCACTTTCTATATGAAATAATAAAATATAAAGAGGAAGGACTAATTGCTTATAAAAAAGCACAATTTGTTACTGGAAGAATCTGATTTCACAATGATGATAGACATCCCATCCTCAGGAACTGAATTGCAAATTTGGAGGTTAGTAGAGGTACAATGTGCAAAGTTCATGACAGACAAATTTTATAGTAGATAGCAGGTACAAAAAGTGCAAGGAATCTCAAACAATCTATAACATCCCAACATGTAAAATACCTATCCTAATTTGTTAGAGTTGCTTCCCAAGTCTAGGGAATAAAATAACTACTGAAGTAAGAGGTTTTATCTCGGGAGTCAGTATCAATGACCTTAACCCCATAAAAATCTCTTGAAAAATGCAAATCTATGCCCATCCTAGATGTTGCTCACCATATATTCCTTAGAAGCTACAAACTCAACAGTCCCTCTGCACAGCTCAGGCCTTTCATCAGCATCTCTACGCTTGCCATCTGGACCTAAGTTGCAGTGATCACGTGGAGTTTCATCCATGGTTCGGGAAAGGGATCCCTTGAATATTGGGTAGCTGTTGTTAAATCAAGTCGAATACTATACGAAATGGGTGGAGTAACCGAAAATATAGCTAGAAGGGCTATTTCAATAGCAGCATTCAAAATGCCTATACGAACTCAATTCATTATTTCATGATAAAATGTAGAACCAACAGAAATGAATCTTGGGGATGAAAGTTTCTTTTTTTGGACAAAAAATATTCATTTTTTTCTTCATCCTTTGCATTGGAAGAATAGACTAAAAAATTGATTTGATTCAACCTCAGACTCATTTAAATGTAGCAGATAACAGCGGGGCTCGAGAATTGATGTGTATTCGAATCATAGGAGCTAGCAATCGTCGATATGCTCATATTGGTGACGTTATTGTTGCTGTGATCAAAGAAGCAGTACCAAATATGCCCCTAGAAAAATCAAAAGTAGTTAGAGCTATAATTGTTCATACTTGTAAAGAACTTAAACGTGACAGCGGTATGATAATACGATATGATGACAATGCTGCAGTTGTAATTGATCAAGAAGGAAATCCAAAAGGAACTAGAATTTTTGGTGCGATCCCCTGGGAATTGAGACAATTAAATTTTACTAAAATAGTTTCATTTAACATATAATAATAAGAAAAGTAAAAAACTTATTTTATATATACGAAATATAGAACCCATTGTAAAAAAAAATGAGTATTTTTCGGAAATACTCGCTACAAGGGGGTCTTTTTTTTCTGTTTTAAGAAAAAGAAAATCTTATGGATCATTGTACATTTCAATTTGAATTAGGGATTCCGTGTACAACTATAAGTGATCCTTACTTCGTTTATCCGAGTGATCCACAAACGATGAAAATTTCTTTTTTGCTTATCCCTATCCGGATGAACCGAAACCAAAACTCTTATTTTCTGTTGAGTAATAGTTCGAGTAAGTCTTGAATGAGCCCCTCGAAAGCTTGAGGCAAATAAACGAATTTTTGTTCTACGTCTCCGAGCTATATATCCGCGTTTAATTTTGGTCATTGAATAAATGAAACTTTGACAAATAACTAATTGATTTCCTTTCTTTCAGTTATTCTTTTTCCCTTTCCAGGTCTATTAATAACCAAACGGATTTTGCCAATGCATAAAAAAAAAAATTCCAATGGCTTTGGCTACTATAACCTTCCCGACCATGATTTTTTCATTTTTTTAGGTATTTCACTGCGAAATACGAAAGAAATAAGAAATTTTATTCTTCTAAGTCCCAAGAAAGATAAATTGAATCATAAAAAATTTGGAGCGTGAAGCACAATTAGATCCATTGTTTGGGGGGATTCACATTACTATTATCAATTAGAATAATTTATGGTTGGCCAGGTTGGACTAAAAAATGAAGTATCCAGGCTCCGTTTAGAAAAAACCCAATTGGTAATATATCTATGATTACTACTTGTATCATAAATGATTCCTGTTTGGTATTTGTAAAGAGATCCTATTTGTCAAGCGAGGGAATCTCCAACTAAATACTTGGTGAAAGGTATGAAATGAATTGAAAAAAAAAAAAAAA